TAGTCTTTACTCCAGATTCCTGTAAAGATTCAATCTAAACTGTTTATGGAACTATTTACCGAAACTATAAAGCTAGGTTATGTAATTCTTGGTTTCAGTGTCTTATGTAAAGGACTGTAATTTGTTGACAGACCCTGGGACTCACTTTGGTTTGCTCCCACTCTCTCAGACATAATATGGCCCCCACATGATGCTAATGTTTATGCAAAAACCACAACAAAAACAAGCCGTGTGCTCCAGTTTTGCAAAATTATTCTCCAACTGGAGTCTGTCACCTGAGGATTGTGCTAGATAAACAGCCGTTATGCTTGAATTTGTTGTTTTAGACGCTCCCTCTGATTAGTTATACAGTCTGTACACTTCAAGGACGTGGGCTGCTCTTTTTGACTTTTGAACGCCACACAAGGAGAAAAAACAGAGACGTTCATCTGCATTTGTTCATAAATCATCCGCTGGTGCTCTCTTAAATACATTTATGTAATGTGCCACGTCCCATTTCTTTTTGCTTTATCTGCAAGCTCAACCTCAGCATCTCAGGGGGCTTTGAGTGCAATTAGAATTTTGCGACTCTGTAAGTCTGGATTATACGACGCTATCGCCTCAGTTTCGAAAATCATCCTATAAGCAGCTAAACGTGTGTGTATGTGTTTTTCGAGTACATGTCTTTTGAACACACTGGCATGACACTTGATGTAATTACACAGGCAGGCAATCTAATGCTCCTCCATTATAAATCATAGATTAAACACTGGCTGACAGTGCTGGAGGGGGACCAATCAAGTGTGGCCAGCCACATTCAGTAGCAGACAGATGCTGATGTTAAATCAGCTTCGATTACCCCTGGGAAGCTGTCGGTGTGCACATATGTGCGTGTGCCCACTGTGAACTTGTGGTGTTTATGGGTATTTTTAATGTGTGTTTTTGGTCATAATTGCGATGAGATGCGTGCAAAGCCTTCTTTGGGAAGTCCCTTCTGTCCATTGGGCAGGAAGTGCTTTTCTCTTCCCTCTGGCTGACACATCCACAACCAGACATTAAGTGATTTGTATCTGTGCCTTCAGTTCTTAAGGATGGAGTCTTTTAGCCTAAAACGCATCCCTTGGGTACTGCCGTGTTTATTATTTGTGAAGGCAGCAAACCACCATCACTGTGGCAAGCCTGAGAAAGCAGATTTATCAGATTGTCTCCATCAGAGACAGACAGAGTGAGAGTTAAGTGACAGTTAGAATTTGTTTAGTTAAGTAAACGTAGCCAAAAACAGACAATAAAAGTATATTCAATTATGTCCTACAGTTATAGCTTTAAATACCTGAGAGCTGAAAAGTATCATCTGCAAAACTCAAAATGCTACATATTGAGTACTACAAACCCTTATTTTAATCTTAACAAGTGCTGAACTTCTGTTGACAGCGGTGGCGTTTGTTTCATTAAGCTGACCGCTGTACAGACCGGTCAGCAAAGTCCTCGCAGGGACACATTTAGAAAACCTTGCTGTCTAAGCTGCCAAGATATTTTACATCCGTTGTTGGGTTCAGCGCTAGTAGCCTCGACACCAGATTGCAGGTTGGCTAACTAAACTGCCCTCACTTGGGTTTGGGAGCACTGTGACAAACATAGATGGGAGGTTTTGATGAAAACAAAGAGATAAATACATGAAACAAAAGCAGGTGTAGCTGGCGAACAGTTTTATGGTTCCTTGTGTTACAGAGAACTTCACGTCACAGTCGTCACATGTAAAGAAAGCTAATGCTACAGTCACACGAGGGGAAGCAGTGGTTAGATACTGCAGTATGAACAAAATTATTGCTTGTAATCTCGTTGCCTTTGAAATGGGTGCTTTGAAGGAGAGGTGCAGTTCTGTGCCGTCTTCAAAGCGTCTTTGGTGCATCACAACGGCGATCAAACAACAATGAGACGGAGTTAGTCTGCTATCAGCTTGTGATTGAATGGGGTCAAGTTGCAATCACTTTGGGATTAGATCCTATATGGTTTGCAGTGTGCTAGCAATCAATTTGAGCTTATAAATTAAACAGTGATTATTTGCAAACCCACACTGAGCTGTCTGAGAGTGATTTCAGACAATCTGACCCAAACTGCAACTGTCTGGAGACAAGTTGCCTCCCTAAAGGCGACCACTGTGATCACCCCTGCGCCTCGACAGCCTGCTAATCTGAGCGATTACTGCAAGCGAAATCCTTCAGCGCAATCAGTGATTTTTACTAGTCACAACAAATGTAGTGGTTTTAAATGTACTTATATATCCACTGGGATATATGAACATGACTAAGCCTAAAATCAGCAAAGAAAGTGTAATCTCACCTACACAACCTCTTCCAAATCCCCTTTGCCCAGTCGCACATCTTTTAATTAAAATGCCGCAAGTGTCCCCGACAAGTCACTGAGGAGAGAATTGTAAGTGCCAGCTACTTATCAATCTTCTCTGGTTTAATTAAGGCTGTGCAAATTATTAGGACAGGTGTGACAGGTGTGTAGTCATGCGTGCATGACGTGTGAGAGACTATGCTAGTGTTTGTGTGTGCTTGTGTGTGTGTGCGTGCCTTTGTTGCCTCTCCCCGGACATAGTCATCTTGCAGGAACATTCTAACTGTCCCATTCACCGGCCCCGGGGCCCTTTCATCGCTCCCATGACCAAGCGGTCAATACTGCAGCACCAGCGATGTCAGTCGCCTTTGTTACAGCAAACAATCAGGAAGAGAGTGAGGTAGCCAAGCTGGATGATGCCAGAAATGACTGCAATCAGCCTCTCTCTACCTCTTTCTCCCACTTTCTCTTTCCTGGCGAAGAGCGGGTCAGAGGTCAGAGCCCCCGTGGGTTTTGTGACAGTCACCTAAATTCAATCGCTCTGTTTTTTCCCCCCCACCTGCAGGTGTGGCTGTGCTACAGCTATTCTGGTCTGCACTGCGGGATAAACTCCATTTACTGTTTAGAAGAGCAGGGTTGGTGATACATACTGATGTCTGCAGCCAAGTCATGCTGTCCATCATCCATCATCTGTCAGCATTTCTCTTCATTTTCAAACACACAGCTGTTTGCTTTAACCATAATGATACATATCCGTTGTTTACTTATGGATTATACATGGCCCGCAACGTTTTAGAAAAAAAAATCCAAAAAACATAGCACAACACGACAGAATTGCTTCATGCTGCGTTTGCACGAGTGTGGACTACATATTTGTGTGCTTGTGTATGTGGATCTTTCATGAGGATTTGCGGTATTCCCCTCCCAAGGCAGATTCCTGCCATGCTTACAACATTATCATTTAGCATTCAGCTTAAACTGACTGTAATCTGACAGAAATATGGCCTCAAATTACCAGCGCTATGAAAATGACAGAGCACAGCTGCTGCAACACTTACTGTGACAGGTTGAAGCGGTGACGATGGAGGATTTGAATTCAGATCCAAGTTTGCCGCCTTTTTAGTAGGTGGTGTTTTTTTAATGAAACCTTTTCAGAAACAATCTGATATTTTTGCTTCGGTATGTTTAGTTTTATCTGACACACTGTCATTTGTTTTCTACAGGATGGTGGGTTGCACTCCTTTCCTGGTGATCTCGTACTTCTACCTGTGGTACGTTCCTCCTTTCAGTGGCAGCCGGTTCATCTGGTACCTCGGCTTCTACTGCCTCTACCAAACCCTCATCACCGTGAGTATGCACGCTCTGTCAGAGCTGTGTGCGTTTAAGAAATTCAGATTTATGTGTGTGCGATGCTTCAGATCACTCGGAGGGACTGCGCATGCAGTACAAGAGAGATGTCAAGTTGAAACGGGAGATAAAAGCTCGGACCGATGCAGCTCACAGTCTGCAGATGACAGATTATGTAACGTATAGACAAAACGCAGGAAACGTTGGGAATAACAAGGTTTCAAAGTGGAAATGATTACAGTCATCTCATGCAGGCTCTGACAGCCCCTCGTAGGATTTCTGCTTTGATTTGTGAGATGAGCAGCAGATTAAAACCCAGAGCGCTTAAACACCTTACCTCAAATGGGGAAGTGTAGCTATTTAGGTTCCCTTTTGTTGTGATGTTCCAAACCATTCCTCCTCCTCCTCTTTCTGTTCTGATTCTGGGGCACCCCATATAGTATGTGCTGCAGAGCATGTAGCCCACTGCAGCCACACTGTGGTGAGCTGTAACGGCATGTCATTCTAACTACTTGATAAGTATACGGTCAGTCCTGCCAGGAACCTCTTGCCGGATAAATGCTGGTTGCCACTTTTAGCCGCCCTTCATTGTCTCTGCCTGTGTGTTTGTGTGAAGTTTTCTGGGAAAGCGCAGCTGTTATCATTCACAGTCTGTAAACAGAGGTTAGAATTCAACATTTCCTTTGTTTATGCAATCAACTAATAATAGCTTTCCATCTAATTAATCAGTTTTCATTCACCTCTGTGTAGGAAAGTTTGATTCCCAAATGTGTTCGCGTCCAGTAAAAGCCCCATAAATGACATGCTGTACAGGAGCGATGGCTGAAAAAAGTCCTTACAGAGTCACATTTATTTTCGTTGTGGCTATGCATACTCATTTGGCCACAGTGCTGACTGAGCCCTTGTGTAAATTACAAAGTGAAGCAGGACTTGGTTTGCTCGCCTTTTCTCTGGGAGAGGTGGTGAGAAAGGAGAAAACAGATCTGAGGTTGGCCAGCATGGAAACTGCAGAAATTGCTGTTGATATTTATATACCGTGTATATTTTTCCTCAGCATTCTCTCTGGAATATATAGATAAAAGGCATTAAGGGTGTTCCTGGTTATGAGCCAGATTTTGTTTTTAACAGTTTGACTGGACTTTAGCACAGTAGAGCTATGAGTTACATTCTTCTTTTGCATACATGGACTGTCAAAAAATGATGGACATAGCCACTGAGACATCACCCATTGTTTTAAAGCTTTGAATTTAGTATTTTGGCTGCAACAATCTTGTTTTTCTTTTCTCGTTTTGCTTCTTTGTTTGTTTGTTTTTTTGGAGCCAGAAGACATGCTAAACGATCAGCTAATGGCAACAAGCCTGGTTAGCTAAACACAAAAATACTAGCTTTTCACTCATCAGAATTGGGTTGTTTTCTTGGTCACACCATGTTATTTGTTAGATAATTGCACCAAATAAAATAATTTGACATAATTTAATATAGAATAATTTAAGAAAATTGGTCCAAAAGAGACCAAGAGGATCTTAGCTAACAACCTCAGTTAGCTGAGGTGAAGGCTAGCATACAGTTAGCAGCTACACTGACTCACTTAAATCTCACCTAAATAATAATGAGTAATAAGAAGTAAAATATATTAGAGGAGTAGGAAATAAGCTTTACACATTAATAATTTCTTGTTCCAGACCACAATATTTATTTCTGCTGTAATGTTGGTCATTTTAACATAGGCGGCTTAAGGGACTTTTTGAGCCAGCTTAAGTGACTATTTGAGGAAGCTTTATGGCACTTAAGTGGTTTACTTCTTCAGCCCCTGTAAATTGTTCTTTGTTTAAATGCTAATATCAGCATGGTAATGTGCAAACATTTTTAAGGATGAAGGCAATCTTTTTAGATTTAGGTACTTGGAAAAGTTAAGAGAGAGATCTAAGGAGCTTGGAAAGCGAAGTGTCTGGACTTCTTTGAGTTGCTTGAAGATGTTTCACCTCTCATCCAAGAAGCTTCTTCAGTTCTGCGGGGACTATTTGTGGGGACTATTAACATGCTTGCTTAATTTTATGGCTATCTATCTATTAGATTTTGACACATACTATGAAAAAATGTCCACCTCATGTTGGTGCCTGAGGGTAGGAAACTACTGTTGTTATGATTCGTCTTCTGGGGACCACAATCGGAGCGCAAAATTCGGTTGTAACTGATTCAGTAGCAGCGGAGACACATTTTGTTCTGGACCAAAGTATTACAACCTTCAATCTTCTAGAAATAAGCCGCTAGCAATGCTAAAAATAAAATAAAATATTATCTTTTCCTTTCCTCGGGAGACTTGTGCAACTGTTTGGCTATCTGCTATGCGGGACTTGCATTTATTTCTGTCCACGTCTTTCTGCTCCTCTTTAGTGTTTCCATGTGCCTTATTCTGCTCTCACAATGTTCCTGAGCACGGACCAGAAGGAGAGAGACTCAGCCACTGCCTACCGTAAGTTTTAATATGCACAAAGTTCTTAATGCCTGCAGTGCTGAATTAATCTTTGCTCCAGCTTTTCATTTGCATAGCGTTTGAAGTGCTGCAACCAAGAGTTGGATTTTTGCTCATTTGATGGCAGGAATGACAATGGAGGTCCTGGGGACACTTGTGGGTGCTGCCATCCAGGGACAGATTGTGGCCAGCGCTCACACTCTGAAACACTGCCCTACCAGCAACATGTCGGCTGGTTACCTTGGCAACAGCAGCGGGGCAGAGATCGTGAAGAGCATGGTGCACTCTAAGGAGTACCTGTCATATGCTGTAAGTATCACCGTGCCAAGCCAGGAAGCCAGGTGCGCTAAAAGTAGGGCAAAGAGTTGGTTTGAAAATAACTTCTAGTTTACCTCGGGGCTGTGGTGTGTTTGTGTGTGTGCTCAAGGCAGTTATAGAGAATATTAGAGGCTAAAAAAAGCAGTGATGAATGAAAAGGAGGATTGTTCACAATTGGCTCCATATTTACTGTCTACAGGTTCTTTTACTTTTACCTTTTTACTCCTATGTTTACCTCGTGGGAGTGAATGGAAACACCACTGTTTGATATCTGATCCTCGCACCCTGAGCCAGTTTCCCCCTCACCACCACAAAGGGGGTGCTTCCCCTGGCATCACACTCCACATCTTGCCCCATTGCACTGAAGGGTCGCCACAGTCTGCCAGTCATTGGGCTTGTTTATGCCTCACCCAGAACATTTGAAGCCATCTTAGATACAATGTGCTCAATATATTAGTGTCTTATTTGCAGTTTAGGTTAAAGTTGGAAAAAAAAGGGGAAAGGGAAACATTCATGTCCGCATTTCAGTTTGCAGAACTGTGAATAAACTGAGCATCCATCATGAGGCTTTTTTTTTGTGAAGATGAAACAAGCCAGAGTCCAATCTGTCCAGTGTTGGATTTGGGGTTGCACCGCAGCTATTTGGGCTTCAAATGGTTCTTTTTCAATGGATTTTGGGTGAACCCTATCAGGGCAGCCCAAACCCTCTGCAGCCACCCACTAAATTCCTCCGTGGTTGCTGGTGAGGGTGGCACACCGTCTGGGCAAACTCCGTCTGCCCTCAGAAACAGGGAGTGTTTGATGTGCATAAATAATAATGAACTGCTGGGCTGAGCCGCATGGAAAAATAGCAAACAAACAGAGGTTGTTTAAGGCAGAGCAGTTCCTGTTGGTTTACAGCTTTAAATGTCTGTATTTTGGGATACGGATAGATTGAGGTTTCTTCCTGTTCCTGCTAGTATTTGGAAAGCACGGATAGTTTGGCTCCCCATAGATGTCACATTAATAAATCATGCACTGGTGAGTGATAGAATGACAAAGAATTGAAGAAAATAAAAGCCATGTAGGCTAAAAAACTGGCACATTCTGTGTCGTTTGTTTCCAAAAATTGATCTATAGCGTGTTAAAAAGAAAGAGTTAAATTTTTTAGGGCACTATGAATTAAAGATTGCAGAAAGTCTCAAAATAGACTGTGTTGTGTCGCCTCCTTGAAACGAGATAGCTAGATGGAGATATGACTGTACGTTTCTTTCTCTCTGCAGAAGCAGGTGTACACGATAGCTGCCGGCGTTATTGGAGGAGTATTCGTCATCTGCACTGTGGTGATGTTCCTGGGTGTCAAAGAGAGAGACGGTGAGGACTTAATTTTTGTGTGATTGTGTGTTAATGAGTATTGAAATTGACCAAAAAAAAGGTTAATCAGTTGTAATAGATGGTAAATGGCCTGTATTTATATAGCGCTTTACTAGTCCCTAAGGACCCCAAAGCACTTTACATATCCAGTCATCCACCCATTTACACACTGGTGATGGTAGCTACATTGTAGCCACAACCACAGCCACCCTGGGGCGCACTGACAGAGGCGAGGCTGCCGGACACTGGCGCCACCGGGCCCTCTGACCACTACCAGTAGGCAACGGGTGAAGTGTCTTGCCCAAGGACACAACGACCGAGACTGTCCAAGCCGGGGCTCGAACCGGCAACCTTCCAATTACAAGACGAACTTCCAACTCTTGAGCCACGATCGCCCCACGATAGTTGACATTCACTTCATGGAAAAGGTTTCATGAAAAGGTTACGCAAACATCTTCAAAAACTGTGTCAAAAATGGACAAAATCGCTCACAGTTTGGAAGGTCTCAAAGGACACCAGGTTAACTTGTCACCAACTCTCCATCAGGAGAACGGTGATCAACAGTGGGTGCTTGGCAGGAAAAAGCCACTGCCCTGCAAAAACAACCCTCTTGCCTTTGTGAAGCTTGCCAACGGTCACGTGGACAGGCTGCTTGAACAATGTTTTGCGGACAGGAATGACCAAGATAGAACACTTTGGTTTTAAATGAGAAGCTTTATGTTAAGAGAAAAGAAAACACTTCATTCCAACCATAAGAGTCGACCCCACCTCTGAAAAATAGGGTTTTAGTAATGTTCTGCACCGGAACGGCATCATAGAAAACGTCTGGACATCTGAACCAAATCCAAGTGATTCATAAAGCAAAATAATGGCCTTAAGCAAACATTTCTGCCAAGGAAGGTTATTGCTTTGAAACAGTTTGAGTAGAGTTTGGACGTTGAGCCGACAGAAATGTTGTGGAAAGACTTGAAGTGAGCAGTTTAAGTGAAGAAAATCACAAACATCTGACAGTTTAACCGGTTCTACACAGAGGAATGGACATGGATTGGAATACATCTAAATCAATGTGCAGGCTGGTCAACGGTCAGCAGAAGAATTTAGTAACTATTTTTACTCTTGTAATATTTATATAAAAAATCAATTAAACTAAACTAAAACTGTTATTCAGTGAGGCCCCTGAGGAACTGTTTCAGGATTAAACCAGTTTCGCTGAGACCAAATTAGTCTTCTACCCAACATATTTCATAACTGGACTTTTGTTGCATGATACCAGTATAATAAAATTAAAAAAACAAACACAAACAGGCAAAATTTAATCTAAACCTATCTAGAAATTGATAACACAATACTTAGAGTTACTGGAATATGTAA